CCGGTGGTGGGTGGGGTGGGGACCCAGTGCCCTGCTGTGTCCCCGGCCTTGGACCTGGGCTGGAGATTCCCCTCTCCTAAGAGTGACCCGGGGAAATGGGAAGGCATGGCCCAGCCACTGACCACAGCTGGAAGAGGGTAGATTAGAGTGAGGGAGGTGCCACTTGGGAAAGCCCAGAGAAAGACCTATGGAAAGCAAATCAGAAGGGGCCCTGGAGTCTTGGTGAGTGGTCATTCAGTCTCAACACGAGTGCCTCTAGTGATGGAGAACTCTGTTCCTCTAAACTACTTCACTATTCCTTCTCTTGAGCTAAATCCTGCTTCTTGCAAGCCTCCATTCTGATGCTGTTTTTAATACAGGGGCCACTTAGACCCTCTCTTTTCTCCCCCTCTCTGCTTGGAGATGACTGGCATCGGGGAAGAAGACCTCAGTTTCTCCTCTCTAAAGTGGAGACCACACTTAGCTCAGATGGCTTGAGAGTTCTAGATCTCCTGTATTCTGGACACAGAATTTCACATACATCCTGGCACCCAGTGGGCCTTCAATACATGTTAGCTCCTCTCTCTTCCTTTGCTTTGTGGTATGCTCTCATGTTCCCTGACCCAGAGTAGGCTGTTTTAGGAGAAATGATCTTCTATTCTTTGAAATTCCTTCTTTTCACCCTAGGCCTGACTCTTATTTTTTGTCAATGCTCTTTAAATACGATGGCTCTTGAAACTAAATATGAATCAGCTATTCATTTAACATATATGTATTTTCAACAAATATCTTTTTGAGATGTCAAACAGAAACTGAAAGGGAGAAATAGTGACTTGGATTGAGAGTTCATGGAAAGAGAAAACTCTCACAAATGTCTAGAACATTCATTCAAGATGCATTGATTTCTCTTCTTGTGTGCTGAGCCCAGGGATCCCAGTGTAGCTCTGCCCTTCCAGAGCCATTGGACAGCTGGTAACTCTCCATGTGGCCTCCTGGAAGCTGTGTTGTGAGAAGCCTGCAGTCACTTCCCACCCTGAGGTTATGTCTGTCAGATTCATGATCTACTTGGGGACTGAACTTTAGTACATCACACAAGCACACGTTCCCTTTGCTCTTCTACTCATCCTTCTGGGCTGGCCAGATCTCCTTGGATATGAACCCAGAGTTACCTTTCTGCTTGGGTTGTTTCTGGCTCATGTAGAATGTGCAGTAAATGTTAAGGGATAGTCTCTGACTGCGCGCATTTGTGATTTCTGGGGGCAGAGACAAAACGAGTGGACTACGTGACCACATTCCTTTCTTGTCTAGAGGGATTCTCAGACACGTCCTGCCGCCCCGTGTTATCTAGATTCTTCCTATTCCAATGGGAGTCCGTGGACCAGGGGCATCCGCATTGCCCAGGGGGTCATTAGACTTGCAGAATCTCAGCCCCTCCCAGGATGGCTCAGCTGGAAGGAGCTTTTCCATTAAAGACCTGCAGGTGATCCACGTGCCCACTGAGGTCTGAGAAGCCTTAATCCAGAGCAGTGGTTGGCAGGGCATTTCCTGTCGGGGGCCACAGGGTCATGCTTTTGACTTGGAGGGCACACGGCCTCTGTTCGGCTGCTCCTTTCTGCTTTTGTAGCATGAGAGCGGCCAGACAATATGTAAGCAGACGGCCATGACCCCGTTCCGGTCAAACTTCATCAATGAAAGATGTGCCCAGTTTGAAGTTCACTGCCAACACTATTTTTTTTTTTGTACTGGGGATTAAACCCAGGGGTACTTTACCACTGAACCACACCTAAAGCGATTGTTTTTATTTGTTCTTACTAGTTATACATGACGGTAGAATGCGGCATATCTGTGCATCCCTGGAGTAGGGCTTCTCATTCTCTGGGTTGTAGGTGATGGGGAGTCACCTTGGTCTTGTGATCACACGAGCCCGATGCTTTCTGCTGTCTTTCCTTTTCCGATTCCCTCTCCCTTCCCTTCATTCCCCTGTTTCTCATCCAAGGTCCTCTCTTCTTCCCTTCCTGGCCCTTTATTGCGATCAGCATCCACATATCAGAGAGAACATTTGGCCTTTGGTTTCTCTTTTAATTTTGAGATGGTCTAGCTTGGTTACTGGGGTTGGCCTCAGACTTGGAAATCTCCTACCTCAGCCTCCCAAGTCACAGGGTTTACAGGCATGAGCCGTCACCTGACTCAACACTTGGTTTTAACGGACTTTTTGACTTTTTCCCATCGAGTGGGTGTAAAATAGTTTAATCTACATTCCTCTGTTGAATTTTTTTTTTTTTTTGGTCAAGATCCATTGGCTACTGGTTTATCTCCTCTACAAATTGCCTCTTCTGTATCTTTTCCTTATTGATTTCTCAGAGCTCTTTATACATTCTAGATACACATCCTTTGCCAGGAACATCCCATGATTTTCACCCAATTGTCTTTTACTTTACTCACAGCATGTTCTGTTGTACCAAAATTTGAAAACTGGATGTAACCCAGTTTACCAATCTTTCCTTTATGGTTTGAACATTCTTGTTTAAGATTTTTTTTTGGGCGGGCTGGGTTTGTGGCTCAGTGGTAGAGTGTTCTTCTAGCACACGTGAGGCACTAGGTTCGATCCTCAGCACCACATAAAAATGAAATAAAGATATTTAAAAAAAAGATTTTTTTTTGGGTGTGTGGTACTGAAAATTGAACCCTAGGGTACTTTACCACCAAGTTCCATCCCAAGCCCTTTTTATTTTTTGAGACAAGTTCTTGATCCGTTGCTGGGGCTGACCTGGAACTCGTGACCCTCTGGACTTCAGGGTGTACCACTGTGCCTGGTGTAAGATTCCTTCTATGCATGAAAATCATAAAGATAGTCTCACACGGGAAAGATGGTCTTCTACCCTCATGTTTCAGGTCCTGGTGAAAGAGTAATAAACAAAACAGAGGTGTTTCCTGTCTCCGTGGTCTGACAGTCTAGCGAGGGAGGCAGATTAAAGAAGAAAAAACAAACAAGTGAGAAAAATGTATAGTACGAAGAATCATGATAAGAATTTCACAGAGAAAAAAGAGGTGAAGGACTTAGGAAAGGTAGCAGCGAGTGGGTTCTAGTCAGAGCAGGAAGATCAGGAAGGATTTGCCGAGAAAGGGACGTTTGCACAGAGTTGAAGCAGATGAGGCAGGGAGCCTTACGTGTACCCAGGGAAGAGCATCCCCTATCAGAGAGCACAGTTCATGCAAAGGCCCTGAGGCAGGACCATGCGCGGTGTCTGGAGGGCCACTGAGTGAGCAAGGGGGACAGAGAGAGGTGACGGGGCAGATGGAGTGGGGCCTCGTGGGTCAAGGCCAGGACTCGGGCTTCCTCTCTGAGTGAGATGGGCGGTGGGGGCTGCTGAGCACACTTATGCTGTAACTGTCCTCCAACCCCCATCCTGTGGTGTGTGAACCCAACACACAGGTGCCGGGCGGGGGCGGGGTGGCGACTGACCACAGTGTTGCTGTGACTCATCCCCCCAGGGACGGCCACACGCTCCTTGCGCTCCCTGCCGTCAGAGCTGGGGTGTCCCTCCTGTCCCTATCCCTGAGCCCTTCTGAGGTCAGAGGGGCCAGGCACGACGATCTGCTCGGTGAGGAGGCATCATGGGGGACGCAGCAGTTCCTCTCTCCTGTTGTCTAAAGCTGCCTCCCACCTGAGGCATCGCGTTAGACACACGTGGAGAAAGGGGCGTCGGGCGTGGACGTGGGGTGCAGGAAGGTGACAGTGGGTCAGCAAGAGTGTGGCTGGGAAGGGCCCATGGGGCAGCACGGGGGTCAGGTCAGGGGGAAGGTATGGAGAAGAGTGGGAGCTGGGGTGGGTAGCCCCAGCCAGGGACACGGTAGAGGGCCTTGGCACCTTGTCCCACATGATGGCGAGTCCTACGGGTCACTCACATGTGAAAAGCAGGCCTTTCCGGCCACCAGGCCGCGTCCAGTGTTTCTTTTCCTGCATTGTTTAACCCTGTGAAAAGCTTCATTGCTGTGCCCCCCATGGACGGTTGGGGAAATCAGGCTCAGAGTGGCCACAAACCTCGCTCACATCACACGGCAGGGACAGGCCGTCCCCTCGACACTGCGCTGCTGTGGCCAGCGGCTCTGACCCTCCAAGTCCTTCCTGCCCCAGGCTTGGCACCTGCTGTGCGCTGACCAGGATGCTTTCCCTGCCCAACAAGACCCTCTTCTACCTCTGGCCTTCCTCAGCCAGGCCTCCCTGAATGGCTGCTCTGACGTGCCTGGGGTGACATGAAGTGGGCCCTGGAGGGTGGTTGACAGAATCAACGGATGGAGGAGGTGCCAATGATTGTCCTGGGGGCAGCTTCAGTGGGGTCAAATCCCCAGCCGCCCTGCCAGGCCCTGCCTCCACTCGCAGGTTGAAGGCCCCCGGAGCCTCTGTGTGTATCACAAGAAACCCCTGCATTGGCACCAGGACATGTCACTCAATAGGTCCCCTCTCCCACTAGGCTGTCAGGATAAATCCTACTGAATTGAATCGAGGGTTTTTTTTTTTTTTTTGTACCAGGGATTGAACCCAGAGGTGTGTCACCACTGAGCCACGTCCCCAGCCATTTTTTACATTTCGTTTAGACACAGGGTCTCGCCGAGTTGCTTAGAGCCTCGAAGTTACTGAAGCTGGCTTTGAATTCATGATCCTCCTGCCTCAGCCTCCCGAGATCCTGGGATGACAGGCATGTGCCACCGCCCAGCTGAGTCTGAGTTTTGGAGAGCGAAAGCAGAGTGTCATGATTCTTTTATTCATTCCTCATCTAATCACTCACGACTTCCTCGAGAGAATGAAACCCCTTTCTCACTTTTGCAAAGGAAGTGGATAACCTTCCTGTGCACAAAAGAAATGATCAGGATAATGTCAAATGCTGAGGGCTTTGAGCCCCCGAGCAGGAGGCTGGGTGTTCAGGCGCTGGGCAGATCAGGGAAGGTCCTTCTGAGGAGGTGACACTTAAAGTGGGAACTAGAAAAGTGAGTCACTGAAGAAAGCCAGTCACAACAGGTCGCACGTTGTCTAAATCCATGTATATGAAATATTCCCAACAGGCAGATCCCTGGAGAGAGCAGGTGGTGGTTGCGGAGGGGCTGGGGGAGGAGAGGATCCGGGTGCAGGTGGGGCTGCGGATTGGACGGGCTTGGTTTTGGGGTGATGAAGATGTTCTGGAGTCGGAGGTGGTTGCAGAGCCTCGTGAATGTGCACCTTGGCGCGGTTCATTTTACCTTCTGTGACTTTCACCTCTTAAAATAATGCAGGGAGCGTGCCCTGCCCAGAAGGCGGAGGGGCATCTGGGAGAGGGACAGAGAGGTGGCGAAGGTGGGTGCAGAATGCCCAGGGGGGTGGAAGGAGGTGGTCCCTTCTTGAGTCTCAGCCTGGACACGGCCCTGGGGATGAGGGACCCCTCCCAGCCTGGACTGTGTGCTCGGATCACCAGGTCCAAGCGCCTGGACGCGCCAGCGAGGGGCTGTGGCTGGCGGCCGGGTGCGCACGCGCGGGCCGTGCGCTCAGATGGGCGTGTGCGGGGCGGCGGCGCGGGAACGCGGACACGGGTGTGTTCTCGGAGCTCCTGCGTGAAACGCACGCATCTGTGAGCGTGAGCACGAGCCTGGCCGTGCAGGGACCCCCTGGCGTCTGTCCCTGTGCCCCCCCCCCCCCCGTGCCCCGACGTGGGGCCGAGTCCTCGTGGAGGAGGTGTGGCCGGAGTCCCTCCCCCGAGGTCACTGCCGCGGGCCCATTGCACGGTCTCTCCGCCCTGCGAAGGTCCTGGGGCAGCCCCGGCCTCCTCTCCCCACGTACTGTAAGTTCTGAGAAATCCTGTTCTGCGGTTTGGCTGGGCCCCTCCCCACCTCCCTGCCCCCCGCGGGGCTGCCTGGGCCACCGTCTTCCGGCCGAGCCTGGCTGGGGGGAGCAGGGCTAGGAAACCCGCCGCCCAGCTGGAGGGAGAGGGCCTCAGTTTTCCCCCTGCAGAGTGGGGCGATGCTCGTTCCTGCCTGGCACAGGGCCCCAGGGAGGCGGGAATCTGGCAGGTCACCACCAGTCACTTCCCGCGGGCCTCCCTCCCTCCAGCCTCGGTGCCTCCTCTAGCTTCAGCCCAGCCACCGTCCAGCCCCTGGCACAGCCCATTTCCTCAGGGAGCTGGGCACAAGCTGGACCTGGGGGCAGGAGTCACCCTGTTTAAAGGCCAGCTCAGCCGTGGAGCTGGGCAGTGCTCGGAATGCACGGGAGGGGAACTCAGCCTTCACTGTTTTCCAGATCCATGTGGTCATAGCGGTCACCTCCCTGTCGTGCCTTCCCATTGGGCTCTGCTGGTCTGTGTCCCTGGAATGACCTTCTGAGAGGGGGACCCTCACCCTGCTACTGCACGTCCTTGGCCGGGTCTGTGCTGGGGGCGCTGGTCTCCTGCTTCTGCCCACCCTCCTGCAAAGCCAGCCTGGAATCGCTCACTTCCCGGCAGCCCCTCCCTTCGGTGGTTTCCCAGAATGCACTCTGGTTGCCCCAGGCCAGGCCACTTCCCTGCCCTTAATCCTTCCATGGCTCCCGGCCACTCTCAGAAAAGCCAAAGTCAAAACCCAAACCAAGGACCTCTGCGTGGCTGTCCAGTAGAAACCAAATCTGGAACTAGGAGGGAGAACCTCTTCCCAAGGGTCACCACACAGAGGACAGGAGGGACTCACCAGCCTGGGGTCTGTGGGCATGTCCAGGGCTGGGCAGCAGGGTTTCCCTCTTCTGGGGGAAACTGGGGGCTGTGCTGGCCCCGCAGAGGCTGAGGTGGCCTGTGCTCAGGAGGGGCTGTGAGGTCCAAAGTGCAGGGGAGGGAGAGACGGTTCCCCTCCCGACTGACCTGTGAGGCCGACTGGAAATTTGGAGGGTCTGATCTTGTCATAGGAAAACAAGAAAACAAGGACCTCTGTATGAATCAGGGTTCTCCAGAGGAACAAGGGGTGGAGGGAGGGAGGGAGGGAGGGGGCAGACAGAGACAGGGCATAAGGAGCTGGCTCATGTGGTTTTGGAGGTGGACAGATCCCAAAGTCTCTTGTTGGCCGTTGGGAGCCCAGGGAGGAAGAGCTGCTGTTCCAGTTTGAACGTAGGAAAAGGCCAGTGTCCCAGGACAAAGGCAGCCAGGCAGGTGGAACCCCTCCCTCTCTCACAGTCCAGCCCTTCTGTTTGGCTCAGGCCTTCAACTAATTGGATGAGGCCCACCCCCACCCAGTGAGAGGGTCATTTGCATTATTCATGCTGTTGATTTTTATGTTAAACTCCTAAAACACCATCACAGAAACACCTGGAATAATGTTTGACTAAGTGCCTGGACATCCTATGGCCCAGGCAAGCGGACACATGAAGTTAACCACCAGGTGGGCACCTGGGGTGCTGGAATGCACCGGGAGGGGACTCAGCCTTCACTGCTTTCCAGATCCCTGTGTTCGGTCACCTCCCTGTCGTCACTCACCCTGCTTGGCCACACAGACCCTTTCCTGTTCCTCTACTACCTGGGTGGTCATGCCTCGAGGCCTGTGTCCTTGGGTCCCTCTGGTGGCCTGTCCAGCTCCCTCGTTCCAGTTTTCCCAGGGCCCCTGTTGCCGGCTGAAGTCCTTATTTCTTTCCGTATTTATTGGCTGCTCCTTTCCCTGGTCAGAAGGCTTTGAGGTGGCCGGCAAGTACCAGTTCCTGGTACGTGGCTCCCTGGCCCCTGCCCTATTGGAGGTCACCTGCAGGGGTGTTGAGTGGGTAGGACCCACAGACAGGTACATGGTACCATCCTGATAAATGTGAGGTTAGGTTCAAGTCTGGTGCCAGGTGGGTCTCATGGGCCTGGCCACTCATGGCTTCCCTGAGACTGAAGTGGGGGCAGAAGTTAATGAGGAAGAAAAGTGTCCACAGCAGGTGCAAAGGCCCTCAGGTGGGAAGAAAGGTGCTGTGTTTGTGGGGACAGGAAAGGAGGTTGGGGGTGCGAAGTATGTGGAAAACAGTGGGGTGTTAGGAGAGCCTTGGGTCTGCTGTCAGTGGGGTTTGGGGAAATTGATTACCCCCAGGACAATGGAGAGTCCTTAAGAGACTTATAGGGTTCTGAGGTGGTATCCTGGAGGGGGCAGGAAGGGTGCTGGGTGCCCACGAGGGCGGAGCCATCCAACCTGGCTGAAGAGAGAAGGGGACAGGAGGGAGGTGCCCGAGGAAGATGGGGTATGTGCCAGCCGGGTGGGCTTGGTCCACCTTCTACTGGCTGCCCACCGGGTCAGCCCTCAGTGGAGTTCCAGGAAGATGGACATTTGAGCCTTGTCACCCAGCCCTTCCCCCTCCCTTGTTTTCCTCCCATCTGGCCGTCCCATCTGTCCAGTGGCTTTAGGGGACCTCAGGTGAACGGCTGGGTGAGGCCTGGGTGTGCGTGTGAGAGTGTATGCGCCCCTGTCCTGGGGACTTCCACCTCCCCCCCCTGGTGGGGACCACCCAGTGCCGCCTGCAGAGTGCATGTCCCTCCTCGGTTCCTGCCTGCGCCCCGCTGGGCGGGAGGCCCGGGCCGCGGGGGGCCCCGCTGCGGACGAGGGCGGCGGGTGGCTTCCTGCCTCGTGGGCGTCGGGTCTCGGGAGCGGCTGGGCCGAGGTCCCTCGGTCCCGGGCCAGGCCACGCAAACCCCCGACCCGCAGAACTGTCCCCGTCTCGCTGGGCGGGGCGGCGGCTGGGGGCGTGGCTAAGGATGCGCCCGCCCCGCGAAACGCACGCGGGTTCCAGGATCTCGGTCCTCAAAGGAATAAGGTTGCAGAGCTGCGTTCTCCCTTGTCCCGTGTCCTTTGTGGCTGTCGCCCGCAACAGCTTTTCTTTTAGTTTTTACTTGGTGTGATGTGGGGCGATGCGTCCTGCTAGCTCTCCCAACGCAGGGCCTCCCCAGGCTAAGCAAGAGCTCCACCACCCAGCCACACCCCGCCCAAGGTCGTATTTGTTTTCCCTTCTTTCTTTTTTTGAGTAGCAGGGATTGAACTCCGGGGCACTCGACCCCTGAGCCCCATCCCCAGCCCTATTTTGTATTGTACTTAGAGACGGGGTCTCATGAGTTGCTTAGTGTTTCCCTGTTGCTGAGGCTGGTGTTGAACTCACAATCCTCTTGTCTCAGCCTCCTGAACCGCTGGGATTCCAGGCTTGTGCCACCGTGCCCACAAGGTCATATGTATACACACATATATATGAATGACACAGTGACACTATTTTTATTTATTTATTTTTATGTGGTGCTGAGAATCGAACCCAGTGCCTCACACATGCTAGGCCAGCGCTCCACCACTGAGCTACAGCCCCAGCTCAGGGTCGTATTTTTAATCAAGGTTATTTCCCATGTATAAAATTCGCCCCTTTGAAAAAATATTGCACGATCTCACTCAAAGGTGAAATCTGAAAAAGCTGATCTTGGAGAAGTTGAGACTAGAAGGGCAGAGGCTGGGGGGTGCGCAGGGCGGGGCTTGAGTGGGGGGTCCACAGTACCACTGTACAGGTAAACAGGAGGAATGGGGTCAGGTGTCCTGTCGCTCAGCACGGGAGTGGAGCTAACAACAGGCAGGGTGCATTTCAAAAATAACTCGAAGCAGCCAGGCATGGTGGTGCGCACCAGCTGGTGCAGTCCCAGCTCCTTGGTGGCTGAGGACGGGGTGCCTTTGAACCCGAGTTCCAGGCCAACCTGGAGGGCACAGAGAGACCCTGCCTGGGACAGGAAGCTACAAGAGAGGACACTGAGTGTACTCAGCCTAATGATACAAGTGGAAGGTGAGGGATACCCAAATCGCCTCCATTTAATCCTCCCATCACATGGTATTCTAGGAGGATGTGCAATTATTATGTGTCAATCAAAACCAAAATCATTCACTTTTTCAAAGTGTGTAATTTGGTGACATTTTGTAGGTTCACGAGTGTGCGGTTGTCACCTCTATTTAATTCCAGAACAATTTCACCACCCCCTCCATCCCCACCCCGCCAAGGAGATCCTGCTCCTGAGTCTCCCTGTGCTTTGGGCGGCGTCCGCGCAGCATGGGAAAAACCAGAAGAGTGCAAAAAGTTCCTTGAGGAGCGGGTTCAAGTGAGAGCAAGCTCCGCCTGCAGCGCAGAGCCTGCCCCCCCCATCCCCGCCACCTCACCTCTATCTCTGCCAGGTGAGTGGCCTGCCTGGTGGGACGATGTCACCTCCTCCCCACGCTTGTCCTTGGAGCCTCCAAGGTCAGAGGCCTCTCTCCGCTCAGACTCTGGGGGACAGGTCTCCAGGCCCTTGGTGGCCAGGAGACAGAGGGTAGATTCCTGGCTACACTCAGGGTTGGTCTTTGGCTTGTTGTAGCAACAGCCTCATCCCATGGTATGGAGCACCTGCTGTATACTGAGCAGCATAGTCCAGTTTATGTGTCACGCAGGAGGAATTTAACAAGTGATTCACATGGAGACATCTGTCCTCTAAAACCTTCAAAGGATGCATTTATACAGAGAGTAAATTTGAAAGGCCCAGATTTCTCCCTCAAAAGTGACTCAAGTCTGAGCAGCGTCCTTCCATTCACACTTCCGGTAGCACAGGTGTGCGATCTCACCTCATCCTTACCAAGGCCTCCTTTAGCCGGGCACAGTGGTGCATGCCTGTTATCCTAACAACTCGGAGGCTGAGTCAGGAGGATGGCAAATATGAGACCAGCCTCGGCAACTTAGCAAGATTCTGTCTCAAATAAAATAAAAAAGGCTGAGGATGTGGGTTGGGGGGGTAGAGTGCCCTTGCGTTCAATCTCCTCTAACAGAACATACAACATACACACACACATACACACACACACACATGCCCCTTGAAGGGACCTCCATTTTATTGGTTTCAAGAGGTCAGGTCACTTGTCCAAGGTCACATGGTGTGTGAGGAGCCGACTGAAACTCAGGCCTGTGGTCCGATGCAGCAGGAAGAGGGGACTCTAAAAAGCAGGATTCCTCTGGGCCCCTTCACGGTCATCAGTGCCCTTTGAAACTCGGGAGCTATTCATTCAGTCATTCAACAAACGTCTACTGGGTGCCACGATGTGGTGAGCTCTGCTGGAAGCTGGGAGAGACGCAGAGGGGGCTTGCCCTTCCTGAGCTCACGTGCTGGTGGGTGACCTCACCTGGGAAGAAGGAATCGAACAGAGATGCAAGGGACACAGCTGGGAAGAAAGAAGAGAAGGCCAATGCCTGGGTCCCAGACGGGCTCAGGGAACACCTGGATTTGAAGCTGGGCCCGGCGACCCACACCTGGACTCCGCTGCTCTGGAGGCTGAGGCAGGAGGATTGTTGAGCCCAGGAGTTCAGGGCCAGCCTGGGCAGCGCAGTGAGACCCCAGCTCAAAAAATGTATATGTCTATTCACATGGTCTGAAATCCCCGTCATTCGTGGCAGGTTGGGGTCCAGGACTGTGAATCCTGCTGGGTGGTGACAGTTCTCCAAGGGGGTAAGAAGTGGTTCTGGGGGAGGATGGAGGGAGGGACAGAAGCTCTGGTCTTGAAGCAGCCACAGATGGTCCAGAGACATTCTATGCATTTTTTTTTGTACCAGGGATTGAACCCAGGGGCACTTAACTACCGAGCTACACCCCCAGCTCCCCCCCCCACCTTTTAAAATCTTTTGTTTTGAGACAGGGTCTTGCTAATCCTAGGGCCTCGCTGAGTTGCTGAGGCTGGCTTTGAA